TGGGATCTAATCGGTCTAGTGGAGGTAATTGGCAGCAGGCGGTCTCTCAAGTACCCAAAAAGACTTTCAATCATTCTGTCATACACAATAGGTTTAAGTCCAGGAAACTGAACCAAGTCTACCCCACCCTTCCACCTAGTATTGGATATTTCAAGGGGGAAAAACCACCTCGTCTTAAATGATTTTTATAAGGATTTCATTTCTTTACCTTGTTTGGCATCTTTCCTTTGAGGTCCATAGCAAGTTTCAACATATGATTATTGGTTTTCCCAGCAAATAATATTTTCCCAGTGTAAAGTTCATACAATGTACAGCCTACAGACCACATATCTATACCGTAGTCATAGATTTTGCCTATAACTAAAGGAGAATGATTTTAGATATTTGGTCACATTAAACTACAATAAGTATCATTACTTTTTCTAAAATCAGCCTAGCAGAAAAGAGAATGAATTATAACGTCGAGAGGATATGCCACTAACTGTAATTTTCCTCTTGTTTCTTCCTTATTTTGTCATTTACAAATAACTGATGGAAATACTAGCTGTCTTCTGTAAAATCAACTATTAAGTGGGACATAAAGAGAGATTGGGTAAAATAATACTGCATGATATAGCAAAGTCTGAGTCACATTATACTGTTTCAAATGTGCATCTCTGACTTCCGTTCAATCGGAAAAAGCAGGATGAGTAAGAATACGTTAACACACGTGCAAAATTCCATGTTAAATTCTTCATCTGTTAGGCAGATAGTCAGATGATGCGGGGGCTCCTCCGGTGAACAGAAAGAAGGACCAAAAAGGATAGATGAACCAAGTTGTGAGGAGAGAATCAACCAAGAAGGGAAAAAAAGATTGGGACGAACAAACTTAAGGATCGCAGAAAAAAGGCAAAAGTGGTGGCATAGTTCTCAACAAGGAAAAAAAAAAAAAGAGGACTTAAATGAATTAAAGAGGTTAAAACCCCAAACCATGAGGTAGTGTCCCCTACCTTCCATTCAGCTGTAATCTAAGCTTCAGATCCCAATTTCTATAGATATTTTCATGTTAATTAGGGGTTATACATATCTGATATCACACCAAAGAATGATATCAATCATAAAATTCTAAATTAAAGTTCATTCTAAATTCGGAGTAGATTAACTTACTGATTTCAGGAGCACGATAAAATCGACTAACAAGATACGGTGTGATATCATTGTCAGCAACATGTGAAGCTGATCCAAAGTCACAAAGTTTTAAAATGGTTTTTGATTCGTTCACCTAAAAGAAGTGAAAATAATAATTATGGATAAAAGTAGTAAGTGGCACTACTATATGTGTGTGCGCGCACACACACATTCAATAGAAATCCCTTTTTTTATAATTTATTATACACACAACACACGATAATCATTACACTTAAAATGATCTGCTATAGGCTATTAAGAAATAGAATAGTGGACACCATAACCCCTTGGTCTATAATCCAGGTGGATACTTTCACATTCTAAGCAAAAATGTCAAAATATTGAGAAGTTTATGTTGCAATGTATTGATCTTACTTGTGAAGATGCTACATTTCCTATTAAAGAGGAGTTTGTAACAACATTGTCAAAAACAACTGGAATTTAAGCACTTGATGATAATTCAATAAAAATGAAGTCACAATAATTCAAACCATAAGCCATTCACATTTTTCCACTTTGACATATAATGGGCAAAATACTTTTCTACGTATCATCTGAACAATGTTTTGCATTTCAATAGAAATCCCTTTTTTTTTACCTGCCCAGGGTAATCCCTAAATTATGTTGGGGCCAGACACACAAAATGACAGTATGGCAACAAGAGCAACTGATATGGCAATTCAGCTGTAATGTTACAGATGAAGGAGGAAGGACCATCATACTAAACATTTTAAATAACTTTTGCAGAATACTCAAGAGGTTAAGATAGTCAATTGTAATGTATCTTTTGTTGCATTAAAATATTCTATATCTTTATATACTTTGCAGGATAAAGATTTTTCATTCTCATAGAAGCTGAAAATTAGCATAAATAATATAATACTTCTGTCTCTTTCAAAGAAATATGCTATGGAACTATAACTGAGATTACCTACCAAAATGTTATCTGGTTTGATATCAGCATGTAAAATGTTGCATCTTTTCAGAAGTTTCAAGGCCAGGAATAACTGCTGACTATAGGATCGCACAGCTTTTATATGGAGACCAACATCTTTTCCATATTTCTTTAGAACTTCTCGTAAGTTCATACTAAGGAGAACCAACACAATGAAATTTTTAAAAGAGGTGGAAAGAGGAGTTAGTACTTGTTAAAATTATAATATAGTGGATTTATAAATACTTTGCATGAGCAGAAAAACACTTCAGAGATTGCTCAAGATGTTTCCTTAAATTACTTTCCTTCTTGTGAGCTAGAAAGCCATCAAAATCCATAATGAATGATTGGTTCACTTTAATTTCTGCAGCATTTGCCCAACAAATCCAGTCCAGTCACTTGATGATCCACTTTACAACAGTCATGACTTTTTATTGTAATTGCCAGGCTCAATTATATCATAACTTGAGGACTGTCTGCATTGGAACATTTTCTATTGGCTATGACTTGATGAAACAAAATTCAAGAGTTCAAATACTGTATCCTGCATCCAGACATCACAAAAGCCTTTTGAGAACTTCAGCCATAGAAAGAGGAAATGAGAACAAGCTATTTGTTCCTCTATTTCTCCTCCCCAGGGCCACATGTATAGAAATGGTGACAATTCTTCTATATTATTTTTTGACACATACAAAAACTGCCCAATGGCTTGTTTTTAATTGTTTTTAATCATAACGGAGAAACACATGGAGGTTTGCAATTCTGAATGTATCCTGAAGGTTAAAAACATTAAGACTTAGGAGAGACACATCCAGAAACCTTGTTCAACAAACCTATACAAAACTAATAATTAAATTTCCAGAGCACAAGGGAATACAAGTAGTGCTCAATTTACAACCAAAATTAAACCCAACATTTCTGTTGCTAAGTAAGGCAGTTGTTAAATGAATTTTGCTCCATTTTACAATCGTTTTGCCACAGTTGTTAAGCCAATCACTGCAGCTGTTAATTGACTCATTCAGTGATTAAATAAATTTGGCTTCCCCCATTAATTTCGTCTGTCAGACGCCAGCTGGCGAAGGTTACAAATGGTGAACGGGACAATGCAATTGTCATGAATACATGCCAGTTTCTAAGAGCCAGAATTTTTATGATGTGACCACGAGGACACTGCAACGATAGTTAAGGTGAAAACCAATCACAAGCCATTTATTTCAGTGCTGTCATAACATTGAACTTCATTAAACAAATGGTGGTTAAGTCAAGGACGACTTTTACATAGAGTTTACATACACATTAGAAACACAACAAGCCAGTTCATAGGTGGGCTTTGTTTAGCAACTGCCCCCTTTAGTGACCATTTGCAGTTACGACAGCCATGAAAAACACGCTGCAACCAATGCCTGTCATTTATGATCTTCGCAGGTCTGCAAAGCAAAGGTGAAATATGACAGTAAGTACAGTCGCTGGTCCCAATTGTGATTGCTACATGATACCTGACAGTACTGGCATCAATCTTCACATTTACAGTTTACATTATAACATCAGTAGTGTTACTAGTATTCATGGCAACAGTCATTCTCTTTGCTTCACCAAGTAAGTATGTTATCCACTGTGAACCTTCAGCACTATGTTTAAGTAACTGCTGTTTTATCCTAATAACAACCCCCCCCCCATTCCAAATCACCCCACTCAATCTAAGCCTGTAATTTTGGGAACATGAATGGCCGCTGCCGGAAGACTCGGCAGCGGATCTCCAGAGTTTGGAAGCTGGTTATGCTCGGAGTACGGCAGCAGCGGGAGGGGCTGCTGCAGCAGCAACGCTCTGGACCGGCCCTGCAGGGAGATGCTGGGCATGTTGAGGCAGGGAGACACGCGAGCTGGAGGCAGAACAAGTGCTCACGCAACCTCTCTTTCCAGATGGGCAGACCGCCACGTGGCTTAGCGCCTTTGGGATATTACTGGGTCGGTGAGTGGCGCTCTGTCCAGCTGGAAAGGGGGGTTCCAGGCGGTTGCTCATGAGTGTGGTCACTTCATGGCGGCTTTATTGCGCTGCTGTGACAGTGCAACATAGCCATTTGCCCCTGAGGTTGTTCCCGGCTCTTCGGGCGCCCACTTGAAAGAGAGCAGACATCTCTCGGCAACCCCAAACCAATAAGCCCCCCGCCCCGATAATAAGGCCCAAGCAAAATTGGGGGGGAGGGGGTTTCAAAAGAAAATAAGACCCTGTCTTATTTTCAGGGAAACACGGTAATGGTGTTTATTGATTTATAACTGAAGCAAATACAGATTCCTCAACTTACAACGGTTCGTTTAGTGACTGTTTGAAGTTACAATGGCACTGAAAAAGTGACTTAGGACCATTTTTCACACTTACAACCATTGCAGCATCCCCCATGGTCACATGATTTATATCGGGATGCTTGACTCCCATTTATGACAGTTGCAGTGTCCTGGGCTTACATGAGCCCCTTTTGAGACCTTCTGACAAGCAAAGTCAATGGGGAAGTAGGATTAACTTAACATCTGGGTTACTAACAACTGTAGTGATTCACTTAACAACAAGTGGAAAGGTCGTAAAATGAGGCAAAACTCACTTAATAAATTTCTCATTTAGCAACATAAATCTGGGTCTCAATTGTGGTCTTAAGGACTATATTAAAAGGGATTGTCGTATTTTGATTTTTTTTCTTCACTTTATTTTCGTCAGAGAAAAACATTTCTCCCAATTGCTTCAAACTTTCAGGAAATTTTCCATCTCTAGTTCTGCTAAAACTTTCTCTACTCTGGACTCATTTCATGCTGCTCTGCAAGGTCAATTAATCCACAAGAGGAATTTGTGATAGGCATGGGGGAGTATAATAAATGAATGGATGCTGCGTGGGATGGATGGCTGCATAAGTGTGGCAGATAAGAGTCTTTATCTTCTTTGAAACTAGAACAAAACTTAATACACAAAATTCATTTTTACAAAAATCTGTAGAATATTTTAAAAATGACTCATTATAAATATATGTTAAAAATGTTTACATAGTATTTTTTATTCTTCAAATTACTTGCAAAGGACTATTGAAAACAGCAGATGTGCTAAGTTCATTAACTAGATTTGTATGAAAACCAAGCAGCTAAGCAACAGATGGGTGATTGTGAAAACTTATTTGCATTAATTACAGTATGGATGTTTCTTAGCAACTGCAGAGTGTTACTTTTCAATGTCCACTTCAAATTTGATGCTCAGAAAACAAATTATCTTTTCAAGCTGACAAACTGCTTCAATATTTGCACAGAACTTAAAGGATTTTATGTTAAGTGTTTCAAATACACATTAAAAATGTATGACTTCCACTTATTGATTTTATACTGTTTCTTCTTTGTCAGAATTCACAAAGTTAATATTTTATTATTTAATCAAATATTATATGTTACAACTATTGGATAAAAACTACTAATATATGACAGAATTGTCTTAAATTTGCTGATTGGAACAGGAAAGCACACGTGTACCCTTAAACTGTAAATACATGAACAGATTTGTATTAATCCTCCAATATGTTCATTAAATATGAAAAATGACATTAAACTGGTGGAATAACTATTTCGGAAGCATAATAACAATGTAAAACTTCATAAATCAGTATGTTATGATAAAACTTATTTTTAAAGGGGCTTAAATTTACTTTTGGATACATACCTCAGAGGTTCAAATACTAGACAAAGGTGCTGCTTATGGTAAAAATGTCGGAACAAACGTAGACAATGAAATTTGTCATCAGGGTCTGCATCATTGAGTTTCTTCAAGAATTCCAGTTCTTTTAAACCAGTTTTTTGCCTGAAAAAAAAAATGATTTATTACAGTAGCAGAACACAAAAACCAAACTGCACTTCCATCTATATTCAATCATGTAATTTTCAATGTTACAGTTTTCCATCAATATTTCAAAAACGTTCCAATTTAAAGTTCATCTCCATTCAAAACCAAATCAATTAATAAAAATGCAAATTCTGGGCACACTTGGTTTTTTAAAATGCTGAAATATGTTGTTGTTGTTGTGTGTGTGTGTGTGTTTGTGTGTGTGTGTGTGTGAGAGAGAGAGAGAGAGAGAGGCAGAGAGAGAGAGTCGGAGTGAGAGGCAGAGAGAGAGGCAGAGAGAAAGAGAAAGACACAGAGAGAGAGAGAAAGAGAAAGAGAGAAAGACAGAGAGAGGCAGAGAGAGAGAGACGGAGTGAGAGGCAGAGAGAAAGACAGAGAAAGAGAGAGAGAGAGAAAGAGAGTGAGAGAAAGAGAGAGACAGAGAGAGAGAAAGAGAGAGACAGAGAGAGAGAAAGAGAGAGAGAGAGAGAAACTATGAGAAATAACATTTTAATTCTTACGTATTCCTTTCCTATTAAATGTAGCAAAATCTGGGGATATGTAAACTGTTTAGGCATACAGTATTCCAAGCATAGGAAAAGAAGAAGAAAAATGCATTGCACATATTTTGGTCCATAAAACAGAACAGGACTGCCTTATTCTGGATGTCATTGAGAACAGGCTGTTCCTGGTAGAGGTGGCAGTGTAATTAAGTGGAAGGGGAAAGGAAGACTAGGAGCACTGGTGGCCATTGAGGGGAGACAGAAGAGGGAAGGAATTGGCAAAAGTTAAGGGTAAGAAAGCCAATGAGATATGCCATGATGAGAATCTGCTCTTTACTGGGGATATCACTAGGCAATAGCTATGGGAGTGCAGGGAAAGAAGACAATGGGAGGTAAAGGAAGCAGATCAGTGGGATCTGGCAGGGTAGAAGCTGTTGAGGGTAGCATGGGAGGTGTGTACTAATGTTGCCCCACTTGCCCTGCACAATTAAGCCAGGATTCCACTGCAACTTGCTCTGGAAAAAATTAATAATAACCCTAAAAGTCAAGGAATTTTCAATTTGCCAAACTGCAATTGACCCAATATGGCTCAAACAAGCTTCTCAGTGATAGTTTTATTGCAAGCTTGGAACAAAATATAATTTCCGTTCTGTGCAGAACAACTAAAGTTAAGGAAATAGACAACATTTCAATAATTTTCTGTAACATGGCTAAGTCACTAATAAATATTTAGACAAGGCCAAACAATTCCCATTTTCCCACATGCTATTCGTTAAATTACGAAAAAACATTTGATTTAAATATATTAATGATTTAAGCAATATGACATATGAAAAAAACCCTGTTCTTTAGTGACTAAAACTAACTGTTGAAGTCCATTAATTTCAGTTAATTATACATATGATTGATGAATGTGACACTTTAAATAAATAAATTCTGCTCATCCGGATTTCTTTTATATTTGTTATTTGCTATTATTACTGAATGGCCCAATACAATCAAAAGCATTTGAACTTTCTCACTTACATAAGTTCATTGTTTCTAATGATCTTCACAGCCACTTCTTGGTTTGCTCTCGCCATATCTCTGGCTCTAACCACATTACTGAAAACTCCTTGGCCAGTGTAACCATACACATTGTAACGTTTATCTAGCACTTCACCTATGTTAACACCTGGAACAGGGAATGGAAAAGAAAAGCATGTTAAAATGCCCCGTATATTCAAAACAAAGCACAAGAACTAGTGAGAACATGGCTACATACGAATTAGTTATGCAGAATGAAGACACTTTAATAACATTAAAATAGACATTAATTGACCAGTTTTATTCAGCAGATAACACAAAAGAAATTTAGCAACTGTACTCACGGTAATATCCTTCAGCATCCGTCCAGTTATCCCTGAGATTTGGATTTTCTTTGAAATCTTTTCCAAAGCCAGCAGCTCTTAGACGTGCACTCTGAAATAAAGACAAGCCTTTTCAGCACATTTTAAATATCTATCTCTCTGTCTGTCCGTCCATAAGCATACAATAATTTGTGATAAGTAATATTAAGCAACCTATACTACAATACCTTTTACTAACCTAAGAGTAAGATACTAGTTCATAGTTAACTAAAGTTAAAAGTATTTTAATGTTTACCCATTTATATCCCACTGAAAAATTGCAATCACCCCTTCAAGATTGTAAAAACGGTTGAAGAATCATATTTAAAATCATATTCTAAACTTTCTTGAAATAATTTAGTGAGTTTTAAGAGGTTTTTATATATTTCTTTCATTAAAACAGTTCTGCATTTCAACAATCATGATAAAATATATCTACTAGTACACTTACGTCAAAATATGCAGCAAACATATCATCTGATTCTGTAAACATATCAGGAGCTGTGATTTTCTTCTGAGATGAACCTTAAACAAATATTTAAATAATTAGAACAAAAGAAAATGAAATGATAAACAAGTTTATATACACACAGACACAAATGTAATTAATCTGAGATCATTTTAGATGACATACACACAATTACAATCCATAAATAAACCAACAATCCATAAACAAAATGGTCAATTAAAATCTACGGGCTTGAAATGACTGAAAAATAAGGTTTTCATTTAGCACCAAAGTTAAGATGGTTAATTTTACAATTCTGAATGGAGAAAGCTGTGCTACCCCAACTCAAGAGAAGATAGGAATTAAGAGCTGAATATCCCAAACAGCTTTTCTTAACAGTTTAAACTACAGAATACACTCATTTCAATTTTTAGAGATTCCAAAATTAAAACCTGCAACCTATATACTGCTAAAGCTCTCATCATGATCTTGAACTGGGTGTAATGATGCATCATAGGATAACAATTTTTGAACCAAGGTACCTCAAATGGGCTAATTTGCAGAATGTGTCTAAAATCCAATATAAATGACTCCTAAGGGAATGAAACTTGGAAACGCTGCAACTACTTCAGGGCTTCTGGCTGCTGCTGCATTGTGCTGTGGTCACATAATCATTTTCAATGTTCCATGATAGTTTCCCGCCAGTCTCACAATCCCGCCCTACTCAGCAGCAGCCACCTACTCCTTGCTTGCCGGGAAGAAAAAGGGAGGGGAGGTTTTCAACACTCTCTGCCAGATTCCCGCAAGAAAACTCAATGGGCAAGACAGCAGAAAGTTGTTCCTCCTGCTCCCAGTGTTTTTGGTCATTTGGTTTCTCTTTTTAGGAAAGGAAATATATCTGAAATGTGACCGAATGGAGCATGGGTTTTCTAGGAGATCTTAATTTTTAAACTAGAATGATGTTTTATAGCTCTGGTCAGTAAAACTAGGTAATGTACATCAATTTATCATTGCATATGGGACAGTTTTTCTGCTTTTCAAGAATATAAGGATGGCAGTGAGCTGAAATACTCATACTAGCTAAGAGAGATGAACATTTAATTCAATTTTCTACTTTTCGTTTAACTGTAAGAAATCTTAATATTAAATACATGCCACTATATTTATTATTACAGTATTAAATAAATTTTGAAATGCTAATACATGGTGCTGTTTAGAAATATGTACACTGTGTCCCTGTCTGATATATTGTATTAAGCGAATTAAACTACTGGTAAATGAAATTCATTCATTTAGTTCTAGAAAAATGTTTGCAAAGAGAAACAAGAAGTAGTTTCTCTTATCATTCGCAACCCTATATGCCATGAAAAGGCACTTCAGAGGGTTCCCAGACAGAACATTTTTGAGGACAAAAGAAAATTTCAGGAAGGGGAGAGGAATGAAAGGAGAAAATCACACGGCAGGAAGAGAAGTCTGCCCAGCACCACACTTCACCTATTGTGCTAATGACAGAACAGGAATTTCTACAAAGTCTATAAACTTAAGTCTATCAAGATGAATATGTTTGTCTTCAGTGTCTCAAATCCATCAGTGACTTCAGTCATAATTTAGCTAATTTTCTATTTATCTACAACATTATATTCAATTATAAATTAGGGACATAAATTGCTTCACTTAGCTGTCCTAATGTAAATATCTTGCTGTTGATTGGTAATTATTCTTTCAGAATGTATTAAAAACTCTGTAATTGTTACCATTATTCTGTTCAACTGCCATGAGGTTGTGTTTTGCTTTCACTGAGGCTTCAAAAGTGTCCACATTTTCTCGTTCATACTCTTTAACATCAGCTGCGACTCGTTCAAGAATGCCTTCTGGTGAGTTGGAACGACTGCGAGTGCTGCTTTGAGGGCTGCTTGGTTCAGATGGCGCTGACATGTTACTATCCTCTGTTAAGTACTTATATTTCTAAAAAAAGGAAAAATGCCATAATTTATGTTGGATTTGATAATGAGAGAAATAAAAATGTTACTTACACTTCCTCCAGCATTATTAAAGAATCTATTTACTGCGCCTTCTGGACTATATATCTGCATTTTATATCTCTTTATGTTTTTGCTTAGTTCCTGAAGCTCAAGAATTAAGATTCTGCTATAAAAGCAAATCAACTTCCTGGTGTGCACAAGTTACGTCCCTTCTTGGATATGGAGGCCCTTCGCGAAGCCACTCACGCCCTGGTCATCTCTCACTTGAACTATTGCAATACACTTTACATGGGGCTTACTCTCGAAAAGTATCTGGAAGCTTCAACTGGTATAGAATGTGGCTGCGAAAGCAAATTTGGTTGCCCCAAGGGTGATGCATGTAATGTCTTGTGATGTAAGTTGCACTGATTGCCAGTTTGCTTCCAAGCCCAATTCAAGGAGTTGGTTATATGCTTTAAAGCACTACATGGCACATACTCTTCTGGAAGAGTTGAATACATGGCTCTGCCAACTCCCTTAGAGCACACAACCTTGAAGTTTTTCAGTACCTTAAAAGCCCCCTCCCCCGCCACCTTTTAACTTTGTTCTATTCTTGTCGTAATTGCCTCCTCTTATTGAAATATACTATTTTTATGTTTTTAATCGTACACTGCCCAGAGCTGTCCTGTGAGATGGGCAGTCCATAAATTTGATTTATAAATAAATAAATAAATATGCATTCGGTCAATTCTAGACTGAGAAATCTGTTTCATACTGTATATTCCAAACTGCAATGGCCTGGCATTTACTGTGCAAGCCCTTTTTTCAGTCTATTTCTTCTTATTCAGCTGCCATATATGTGGGAAGATACACAGTAGCAACCAATTATGCCAGAAAATGTTTGGAAATGCAAGGCCATTTTAATATCTGAACACGCTCTAGCACAGTGTTTCTCAACCTTGTCAACTTGAAGATGTCTGGACTTCAACTCCCAGAATTCCCCAGCCAGCATTCGCTGGCTGGGGAATTCTAGGAGTTGAAGTCCAGACATCTTCAAGTTGACAAGGTTGAGAAACACTGCTCTAGCGAGTACGAACTACATACAATAGTTATAGAAGTTTCAGAATTCCTCAGTTTTCATAAATTGCAAAGATTTCTTTTGTGCAACCTTTAAAAAAAAAGGCCCTACATTATAAATGTTTTAACAAATGCCATTCAGAGCCATTACAACCTTGAATAGTAGGACTATTTTAACACCTGACAATTACAATTACAACCTTGTGTACGTGACATCTGGAATTTACCAAACTTTTTATTTAAAACGTTTCTATAGCCATCTGGACAGCTCCCAGATGTTACAAGTAAATGACATTTCTTCCAATAAGTCAACTTAAAATTTTAGTCTGGTCAGAGTAGAATTAGCAACATAACAAACCTGCACAATTGCTTGCCTCTGTAATCTTCTTTGCTCAATTAGAGCTTCCTCATCTTCTTCTTCAACATCGAAGTCTTCAAGGCTATCATTATATAAATTAACCATTTGAAATCTTAGTACTGTATGTACTGATACAAGGACACGTCTTTCCAAAATAACATTCAACATTCTTGGCCTGAAGTTCACAGAAAATTTCATCTCTGTCCTTAGGCAGCAGCTATTTTTCTTTCAAGAGAGCCGAGGTGGCGCAGTGGTTAAAGTGCAGCACTGCAGGCCACTTCAGCTGACTGCTAGTTCAGCAGTTCGGCGGTTCAAATCTCACCGGCTCAGGGTTGACTCAGCCTTCCATCCTTCCGAGGTGGGTAAAATGAGGACCCGGATTGTTGTTGGGGGCAATACGCTGACTTTGTAAACCGCTTAGAGAGGGCTGAAAGCCCTATGAAGCGGTATATAAGTCTAACTGCTATTTACCTTATCTTAAAAGCTTCTTAATTAGAAATTCTTCCTGAAGAAAGCTGGTTAGAGGGAAAAGTGGATTTTCCCTCATGATGGGATGCATGTCCATTTGATAGTTCTCAACTCCATCGCTATCAGGAAGTTCTGCACTTTTATGGACAAGAATTGTTTCATTTTAAGGAATTCCAGGGAACTGAAAACACTTTCCCCCCATTCATAATGAAATGAAGCTGCCTGGGCGGACTTTGGATAGTCACACTCTCAGTCAACTCATCTCATAGGATTGTTGTTTTTGGGGAAATGTAAGAAGGAATGGGTTTTCCCTGAGTTATTTATAAAAATAATGAAGGAGGGATTTAAAAAATTACAATAAATAAAAATTACATGATCTAACTTATATTTATTTCAGCTATTGTATAGGGAAGACTAGTATCCCTTTTACAGGTAGTCCTCAACTTACAACGGTAATTTACCCTGGAACTATGGTAGTAAATGGTGGTGGTAAATGAGTTTTATGTGGGTTTTTTTGTAGGGCAGTCATTAAGCAAACTAAGCTGTTATTAATATTTTGATAAAACTTTGATACAATCAAGATAAATTCAGTTTGTATCATTTAAAAGAAAATCTAGTTGGGGAGGGGGTCAATATAAGATAAGATTAGTCTAGGAAGAATTGTTCTTGGCAAATCCATGCTGACCACTGTGCTGCTTTTAAACAAAAGAGCTCTCCTTATGATTTACTCTAGTTTCCCCAAGTATTAATACAGATATCTAGCATCCAACAATCATCCAGTACTTCATCTGTTCCCAGGATTTTTTCATAGTTAATATGTAAATATTCAGTTTTATTATTAAACCGCTTCAATAACAATCCAGTTTCTAGATTTTTAAAACAACTGAAAAAAATCGTTTTCCTTACCATGTTTCTATCCCATCTTAGTGAAAGAAGCACTGGAACAGCATAATGACCAATTCAACAAAAGCAAATCCATTGCAACATACTTTACTTACTAGTTTAAACTCACAATTTAAGGCTTCTTATCATTCCAGGGTACCTCACTATATGAGATACTGAAATACAAAACTTACTTTTCATCAGATGAAGATTCTTGCTCAATCTTCATTCCTTCGGAAAGGCTTCCCTTAAATTTATCTTCTATTTTGCTCCTGCTCCGTCGTCTACGGCCACCTCGTGATCTGGATCGCCTTCTCAAACGAGATCTACTACGCCTACCCCTGTCTCTGAAAATGGATTTAACAAAATATGTACTTTTATAACAACCATATTCATTTTGTTTGATACTATTATTTTAGCATCTAGATTAACAACCGTATCTATTTTACCAGCCATATTAGGATAATATATTTTTACTCAAATATTTACTGACAAAAAGGAATATAGAATAATCTGACACGAAGTTTCAGCTGCAAAATTGGAAAAAGTAAACTCATCTTGAAAAGAATCATTATTTTTTAGCATAGAGCTATGATTGCACTGCATCATGTAACAAAAGATAACGCAATCTTCCCTATTGCAGAGCATTACACATTCTCACAATCTACTTCAGAGGGACAAGAGATTTCAGGATATCAATGTATTTTGATGGCAGGTGGAAGCCAGATGGAGAAAATCAACCCCCTCATGCTAATGGAAAATACCACTTGTACAATGTTTATTTTGCTTAGAAACTATACAGTTTATATACCTCCTCCGAGGAGATCTACTTCTCCTTCTTGGAGATCGGCTATGTCGAAGTAGAGAGCGAGATCTTCGTCGAATTGGGGACCTGGATCTTCTTCTTGAAGGAGACCATCTAGGTGGACTGGCATCTTTTGATCGCTCCCTTCTTGAGAGGATGTCATCTCTAGTTCGTGTTCTTGAAGCAGGTAAAAAAGAAAAAGCAATTTCATTTTAGATGGAAGTCACTTTAAAAGTTCAATCTGAAATTAAACTGGAAAATAATATTGAACAGATAAATTTAAACAAAAGAAAAATGTTACACAAAAGGATGACGTTGTTACCTAACTCAGACTTAGGATCCGCATCTTCTGATGATTAGCAATCTAAGTGAGATTTGACAAAACTAGTTCAGAAGCTTTAGAGCAGGGGTATCAAACTTGTGCAGTCACGATGGTGTCATGTGACATATTGGAACTTCCCCCCCCCCTTTGCTAAACCGGGTGGGGTTGGAGCCAGCATGTGACACATCTGGCCCGAGTTTGACGCCCCTGCTTTAGAGGATATTAGCTGGAAAGATTTTCACAATCTTTGAGGTGAGTTTATAGCTGACAAGGAATGAAATATTACTCAAGACTTATTTCTTTAGTTTACATTCTAAAACCAAGAATCTAGAAAACAGAAACTTAAATAATACTAAAGACAGTGTTATTTCTAAAGAATGAAACATCAGGATTTATCAGCATCTAAATTTACATGAAATGTTTAAACTGTATCTTCATATACATTAATTTGAACTCCTGCACTTGTGTTTATGTAGTTAATAAGAACATGTTTTTTTAAATGTAACAAAGCAAAAATATCACTACTGTATAGATTCTTTCTTTGAAGTTTGCAGTGATGCCAACAATATTAAAATTATTAATGTGCATGATAGGCTAGAGGGGGCATGTCTCTTTGTGAATCTATCATGAAGAGCCCAGACAACTAAACAATCACTTTGTTCTAGTGAGCTGATAAGCAGAACCTGAGAATAGATGTTAGTTAGCTCCCCAAAACAAATGGGGGCTGCTGAACAGATAAAGAAAAAACAAAACTCCATAAAAAGAAACAGGACTCTGATAGAGGACACTTGTGACTAACAATCTGAAATGGGTCTAGAAAGCCCGTCAATATTGGCTGATCCTGAGATGGACTGGAGAGGCTGGATCGATGTCACCAGTTTTATTTTAAGAGTAGCTCCTCAAATGGACCATGTACAATCCAGAAACCTAGACTGGGGACTAGAATCTACCTGCAGAGACAGTCCAGGTAGAGAAAAACCTAGTTCTACCAGCCAGAGCCTAAGCAAAAATGTAATTATGGACTAAGATGCATAAGATTCACTATAAAGTTCCCTTTAACATGTTTTTTAAATCTCAAGCGGTGGTTTTATTCCATCACTACTCATAGTATATTTTAAATATCCACTTGTGATTGCATTCCTAACCTGCTGGCTATTGGTGAAAATGGGAAACAGAAGGGATTAGTTTATCTGATTACAGTTTAATTACTTGCAGTCGTAAAACTAGTCTGGAAACAATAAAGTGAAAATTCACAACAGGCTCCACTGTTATCCAAATTGTTGTAGAAAAATATTTTAAAATGTTACGCATAAGATTTTTCTTTAAAGGTATGAAAGTAAAGCCAGACTCTGTAATGATAGATTTACAATGATTACAATAATTTGGGTGTGTGGCAGATAAAAACTGAAATGCTTAATCTAGAAAAATGATTCAAGAAAGCAGTCCTTGAGGATAAATCATGACGTACAGTTTAAAGGGGGGGGAGATTGGTCAGCTGAGGGAGGCAAAAAGTAACATTTCTTAACTATCACATTTTTTTGCTTTCTTCAGCAAAGAAATATATTCTTTTCTTTTCAATATACTGCCTTGCATTTCAGAAATATGATTCTGGATTACAAAACTGAAGATATAGTGTAAGCATATCTATGTAAACAAAAAAGGGTGAATTCTAATCCACTACTTTTAAAGACATAAATGGGACAAAGGTAGCACATATATTTGAAATGTAGTACACTAGACAATGTAAAATTGTGATTTTGCTTACAGAATTACTAAAAAGATTCTTGCAATAACCAAAGTGTATTATTATGAGCAAAATTAATCTCCTGATCAGATCATATTTCTTTCATATTATCCAACATATTACAGCAGTTTCAGGTTTTAGCAAAGTATTAGCTGCTGTCTACACTTAATCCTCACCTATTTTATTGCCTCTAGCAATATTGCAACTAATTCAACAGACATTCTTTTGCTTTCTCTCATTCACTATACTTACCATATTTTTCGGAGTGTAAGACGCACCTTTTTTCCTCTAAAAAGAGGCTGAAAATCTGGGTGCGTCTTATACACCAAATACAGCATTTTTTGCCTCCTGAAGCCCCGCCCCTTCACCAAAATGGCTGCGCACAGCCTTAAGGAGGCTTTCAGACAGCTCCTGGGGTCTGGGGAGGGCAGAAATGAGCAAAAAATGTTTTGCCGTTTTTGCCCCCCCCCCCCCCAGCAGCACACTATAAGCCTCCATAAGGCTATGTATGCAATTTTTTTGACAGAAAAAAGGGCCGTTTTCGCAAAAAAGAGCCATTTTTTGCTCGTCTCCCCCCCCAGGAGCACTCTGTAAGCCCCCCCAGGCTAGTAATGCCTTTTTTGAAACAAATGGGCCCGTTTTCGTGAAAAATGGGCCATTTGGGGGATGTTTGCATAGTACAAAAACTTTTTTCCCCCTTTCAGAAAGCTGTTTAGTTAGAGTGGTTGATGAGAATTACATTGATCAAGTGGCTGTGCCAGCAGAAACAAAGTTTTAGGTGCTACAGGTTGTCATCTATTTCCTTCTCCAGCACATGGATAAATACACCTGGAAACATCTACCTACCTACCTACTCACTCTCTCTACCTACCTACTGTATTTCTCTCTGTCTCCCCCCTCCACTATCTACCTATATACCTACCTACCTTCTCTCTCCCCCTACCCATCTACTGTATTTCTATTTTTCTCTCTATCCCTCTAGCTACCAACCTACCTACCTACTCTCTCCCTATGTATTTCTCTTATTTTTCTTTCTGTCTATCCTTCTACCTACCTACCTATCTACACTCTCCCTCCCTCCCTACTGTATTTCTCTATCATCTATCTATCTATCTATCTATCTATCTATCTATCTATCTATCTATCTATCTATCTATCTATCAT